CATCCAGATCAGCAGATCCTGGGACCCCTAAGGTATGTAACTCTATACACTGAAGTGAAGCCCTTAGATCACTGGCAATATGTGCAAGAAGGAGAAAAGTAAATATAGTACTCCTATTTTGATAGGGATATTGCTATCTTTACACAAAAAACTACTCATATAATAATATCTCATTAATTAAATGACATGCCATAAAGTTGAATTGCATAAATAAACACAAAATAGCAAATTTGTTCAAGCACCTTTGAAGACATATCCATTTTAAGTTAGTGTGTGCCACTTACTTCCACATGTCGGAGTAGCGGTATATGTATGATATACACTTGGGTTCCTTGGGTACATCAATGTCATCAAGTTTGGCTACCTGAGCTGGAAGTCCATACAGGACGAGGTAATTGACCATAAAGTACTGCCCCTCGATGTAACCAACGCCCAGCAGACACCACAACGACACCTGCTCCATCACTGCTGGCGACCGCAGCAAAGCAGCATGGTACAGAAAGTGGTGAGACAGCTCGATGAACGCCGACCAGAAAAACACCCTTAGGAAGTTACCCAAGGTCTGGAGTATCCTGTTTGTGTTCCAGCATGAAGGTGGAGAGGAGATCTGAAAGTGACCTGCCATTATTTATTCCAAATATTCGCTTTCCATTAGTTTCCATAGAATAAAACAGAAACAAAATAGTTCACATTTTTAGAATCATATCAATAATCGTATATGACATTCAAATATGAGATCTTTTATGAACAAAAGACAAGAAAAGTTAGAAGTCTTTATCCTGAGTTGTACTTTGACATGTAGATATCCCATGTTCTGCCATTGGTATCATATCTGTGTTTGACCCTCTCCTTGTTGATGATCACATCAAAAAAAAAACATAATTGTTTATGTATCAGTTTGTTTGAATGAAATCTAGATCTTGAATCAACTTTAGAAACCTGTAAATTGAAAACCTTGATGTATCTCTTAATTAAAAGCTATAATACTCAGGATTCACTGACATTTTTCTATGCCAAAAGGAATCTTTGAATACTTTCATGAAGTAATAATCTATCTACACAGTTCAACTTGTTTGATTTGTCTTCATAACTGTTACCATGGTTATACATGTATGTGCTTAATTTTATCCTCATCCTTCCATGAATAGGCAACGAGTGAGTGAGTGAGTGAGTTTAGTTTTACGCCGCACTCAGCAATATTCCAGCAATAAGGCGGCGGTCTGTAAATAATCGAGTCTGGACCAGACAATCCAGTGATCAACAGCATGAGCATCGATCTGCGCAATGGGGAACTGATGACATGTGTCAACCATGTCAGCGAGCCTGACCACCCGATCCCGTTAGTCGCCTCTTAGCCGACAAGCATGGGTTACAAATATTCTAACCTGGACCTTCACGGGTGTGAATAGGCAATGAAGTTTTATGTGCGCAAACAACTTTCCAAGTATGTAACAGTTTGCTACAGGTTTCATCATCGAGTTGGACACTTAAACAGGTTGACTGCTGGTTCTCCATACCTTCAGACATGTTTGGATATTTAAAGACAGGATCTAAAGTCAGTCTGATGGATGCATTGTAAGCAGATGCCTGTGCTGTACGAAGCATCATATTTGGGATCCTTATATAGATACATACCTTTGAAAGAGACAGCTGCATCTTGTATCTTTAATTAATGATGTTGTTTTCTCGTTACCTGACCTCCTACTCTACTTTTCTTACCTGTTCTTTGAACTGGTCGTACGTGAGGAGAGGTCCAGTGAAGAAGATTGGCAGATAGAAAATGTAGAGCAGCAGATCAGGAATAGTAAAGCAGTTATCTTCCTTTGAGTTCTGTTGATGAGAGTTATTTGCCCTTGCTTGCACATATTTGCTGCGTTCCAAACAAAAGCTTGTGTATCGCAGAACAACCAGGGCCAAAACAAAGATGAAGAAGTAATATCCACTGTCGGTCGGATCCGATGGAATCGCACATAAACTTTTCTGAAATGTATGGGAAGTAAAAGTTTAAATGTGAGTGAGTGATTTGGGTTTGATGCTGCCAGAACAGTATTCCAGTTATATTAAAACAGAACAATTTAAATTGAATGAGAAATCAATGTGCATTTTCACTGGTAACTAACAGCACATAACATCATAACGGAGATGAAATGTGTAAACGTGTAAAGTACAGATGTACAGCATCACAAGTCTTTTGATTAGTGAGATGTTGGAAATGTAATATCTCAAGAAGTGTACACAGATTAAGGACAGATTGGATGGATAGATAGGATGGACTGATGGATGGATAGGCTGAGGGACAGATTGAGGCATGGGATGGACAGATCAATAGACAGAATGGACTGAGTTTAGTTTTACGCCGCTTTTAGCAATATTCCAGCAACATCACGTTGGGGGACACCTGAAATGGGCTTCACAGATTGTACCCATGTGGGGGAAACCGCTTCGTAAACAACCTTCAGGCTAAATTCAGAATGGATGTGTAATATCCACTGAATATCCAGGTACAAACACATTTAAAAGCTCACAAATTGCTTCAGTGAAAGGTCTTGGGACAACTGCTTACCATCCAAGGAGTGAAGCTGTTGTAGTTTAGAGTAGACAGCAGCAGAAGACTAACGACCCACACCAGGGCGAAGCTGCCGACCGAGGACGCCAGGTAGCAGATACACCCGTGTGAGATGAAGAACAACACCGTCCGGTAGCCCAGGAGATACGACACACTCACGAGGGAGTATGTCAGAAACACTGGCTTACGAAGCTGGAAATATAAACACAGATGAAGAACAACACCGTCCGGTAGCCCAGGAGATACGACACACTCACGAGGGAGTATGTCAGAAACACTGGCTTACGGCTGGAAATATAAACACAGATGAAGAACAACACCGTCCAGTAGCCCAGGAGATACGACACACTCACGAGGGAGTATGTCAGAAACACTGGCTTCACGGCTGGAAATATAAACACAGATGAAGAACAACACCGTCCGGTAGCCCAGGAGATAATGACACACTCACGAGGGAGTATGTCAGAAACACTGGCTTCTGAAGCTGGAAATATAAACACAGATGAAGAACAACACCGTCCGGTAGCCCAGGAGATATGACACACTCACGAGGGAGTATGTCAGAAACACTGGCTTACGAAGCTGGAAATATAAACACAGATGAAGAACAACACCGTCCGGTAGCCCAGGAGATATGACACACTCCGCGGGGAGTATGTCAGAAACACTGGCTTCTGAAGCTGGAAATATAAACACAGATGATGAAGAACAACACCGTCCGGTAGCCCAGGAGATATGACACACTCACGAGGGAGTATGTCAGAAACACTGGCTTACGAAGCTGGAAATATAAACACAGATGATGAAGAACAACACCGTCCGGTAGCCCAGGAGATACGACACACTCACGAGGGAGTATGTCAGAAACACTGGCTTACGAAGCTGGAAATATAAACACAGATGAAGAACAACACTGTCCGGTAGCCCAGGAGATACGACACACTCACAAGGGGAGTATGTCAGAAACACTGGCTTACGAAGCTGGAAATATAAACACAGATGAAGAACAACACACCGTCCGGTAGCCCAGGAGATATGACACACTCCGCGAGGGAGTATGTCAGAAACACTGGCTTACGGCTGGAAATATAAACACAGATGAAGAACAACACCGTCCGGTAGCCCAGGAGATACGACACACTCTCCGAGGGAGTATGTCAGAAACACTGGCTTCTACGAAGCTGGAAATATAAACACAGATGAAGAACAACACCGTCCGGTAGCCCAGGAGATCACGACACACTCACGAGGGAGTATGTCAGAAACACTGGCTTACTGAAGCTGGAAATATAAACACAGATGAAGAACAACACCGTCCGGTAGCCCAGGAGATATGACACACTCACGAGGGAGTATGTCAGAAACACTGGCTTACACGGCTGGAAATATAAACACAGATGAAAGAACAACACCGTCCGGTAGCCCAGGAGATACGACACACTCACGAGGGAGTATGTCAGAAACACTGGCTTACGAAGCTGGAAATATAAACACAGATGATGAAGAACAACACCGTCCGGTAGCCAGGAGATCTGACACACACACTCACGAGGGAGTATGTCAGAAACACTGGCTTACTACGGTTGGAAATATAAACACAGATGAAGAACAACACCGTCCGGTAGCCCAGGAGATACGACACACTCACGAGGGAGTATGTCAGAAACACTGGCTTACTACGCTGGAAATATAAACACAGATGAAGAACAACACCGTCCGGTAGCCCAGGAGATATGACACACTCACGAGGGAGTATGTCAGAAACACTGGCTTACTGAAGCTGGAAATATAAACACAGATGAAGAACAACACCGTCCGGTAGCCCAGGAGATACGACACACTCCACGAGGGAGTATGTCAGAAACACTGGCTTACTGAAGCTGGAAATATAAACACAGATGAAGAACAACACCGTCCGGTAGCCCAGGAGATACGACACACTCACGAGGGAGTATGTCAGAAACACTGGCTTACGAAGCTGGAAATATAAACACAGATGAAGAACAACACCGTCCGGTAGCCCAGGAGATACGACACACTCACGAGGGAGTATGTCAGAAACACTGGCTTACGAAGCTGGAAATATAAACACAGATGAAGAACAACACCGTCCGGTAGCCCAGGAGATACGACACACTCACAAGGGAGTATGTCAGAAACACTGGCTTACGAAGCTAGAAATAAACAACGACAACAATAACGTCACTGAGGAAGTAAGACACGCTCATGATTGAGTTTGTCATAAAAAGGTTCACGAGGCTGAAAATAAACAAGTCAGATTCACTTGTGATTTGGGATTGTTGAATATGCATTGCACCAAGGTTTGGCCTTTGGGCCTTATGGGGAATTTTCTCTTAGGAAACATTACAGGAATGTGGGATATTGGTGATATATATCGTCATGGTTAAGCTGAGATTCTGCATCAGTTACCTACATGGAAGAAGTAAGTGTCCACTGTCCGAGCTATGACCACATGACCAATTCCCCATGGCAGAATCTCCCAGAAGTAGCTGGACCAAAAGTTCCATTCAAAATTTGAAATATCCTGCAACAAAACATATTGCTGAAAATTTGTTAAACATCAGGAATTCATGGAAAAATAGGAATTCATGAATAATTTGCTTAAACAAAAAATTGCATTTATAACAAAGAGTATGGATTAAGAAATTAACCTTCTTGTAAGGAAGAAAATTCCATCCATCCACAAAGTCCTCCTTGCTGAGATCAATGAAGAATTCTGAAACACAAACAGTAGACATGATAAAGATCCTATGATTTGTTATTGAAAATCCTGTTGCAATAACTTACATCTCTAAACACAGTTTGTCCTCTGAATCCCGCTCTTAGTGACTGGTCATTTGTAATAAGGGGTGGAGGAAAGTGTGATTGATCCTAGGACTGTATCATACAGTTATCATACAGGTATCATACAGTTATAATGAACTAAAATGGACCACTAATTTTAGTTTGCTATATAAAACCATTGTTCATTATACACATTGCAACTAAAATATACATCAAGTGCGTGGGATCCAAACACAGTCTGTTATATCTGTCAGTACATTAAAAGCTTGTTCATTATAAACATAGTTTAAAAGTATTTTGCTTTTTGTAACCTTTCTTTAACTCTGATCCACAGGCCCTTGTGTCAGTTCTTTATTATATCTAGAACAATACATAGTGATCATGAGTGTAAAAATGCACTATCTTCACTGTCTTCTTATATCTTTACACAGGAAAGTGCATGTTTGAGACTAAAAATTTTATTGATTCAGACATATTGAAACAACATAAGGACCTGTATCCTGACCCCCAATTACCCCCAATTCAAAGGCAGTCAAATAAGACACTGCAGTATGAATTCCTGGCTTGTTCTTACTCTGGGACTCCTGGTGTACGACGTAGAAGGTGTAAATGATGCTGCCGACTCCGGCCACCCAGTAGAAGATGGACTCAGGGAGGGGTAGGCGACCATGGCACCTCTGGTGACTGGGTGAGGATGGGACAGGACGGAGACAGGAGGCACCAGGCTTCGACCCTTTCATCTTTATCTCCCTGCCTAGTACACCATCAGCACACAATGTATCAATAATTAATTCTCCCAAAAATAATATACACATTATCCTCATCATTTGTATTGAAAGTCATTATTTATAAGAGTATAAACTTTCCATTACTTCATTCATTTGTTAACAAACAACTAACAAAATTGTCAGTAATTCTATAAGCATGGTTCATATCCAGTACGTGCATAATAGATGCGGTATCGATCTTATCCCTATGCTGTTGCCTTGGAACCACTTTGATACTGAATTATCCTCAGACAGAGCTACTCCCCGCTGCGTTTTCCCAATAGATTCCTGAAGCAAATCTGCACTGCACTTGACATGCAACGAATCAGTATCAAAATCATAGCGGAACATCACAGAAGGACAGTTTCCCCAGCTCGCATTTTCTTTCAGATTGACTGGATGAACAATAATTCACATTTGGTTACCAGAAAATGTTTTGCAAAACATCGTACATGTGTATCGTGCTCTCAGTCATTTGATATCGACTTCTGATGATGCATTTCCAAGAGCTGGTGGGCGTGGCACCTCAGACAACCGCCAAATGTGGGCATGTATGGATATCCCCGACCCGGAACAAATATTGAAGAGGTCATATAAAACGTGGCTATTGTGTTGAGTCAGATGCACAATTTACTTCCTCAATGTTGCCGCCTGTCAGTGATAACGGTTGCAACTCACGACATGTTGACAGAACCAAGAACATGTGCATGAACGAAAACATAAACATTAAATAAAGGGAAGTAACTCGAATCGTTGCTGTTTTGGTGACCACAATTAAGTTCGTACTTTGAAGGAAATCGAATAATTGTTTTCCTTTCGCGAATAGGTCCTGCCTCTTCCATTGTAAGGAAATAATTTTTGCTCTCTTAATTTCGCAAATAAAGTAATTTATGTCTTCGAATACGTATTTCTCCGTTATTTGATAAAATTAAGTCAGTGATTCCATTGACCATATGCAATAAAATTTTGATAGCAATATCACTCCGTATATACTGAATTAGCCCCAGTGAGCTCGGAGATTCAAAACCAGTGGGGGGCCTAGACTTGCGATATATCCACCGCTGTTTATCAATTATTTAGCCAATATTTCTTGTAGACGTGTGGGAAGAGCTAGGCGGAGTGTGTCATTGAGTGGAATAGGGGTGCCAACGTCTCTCCCTAAACCCTAAATTACTTCCATTCAAAGTTCAAAAGCTAGTCGAAATTAAATTTTGATTAGATACATTATATATAAAAATCATATTTTACTCGGATTCCTACAAAGAAACGACCCTTTAGATGTAATATTGTTATTCTTGAAACAAATAATATTCAAACATAGAATGACAAACCTTCCAGTTCCAACAACGGGAATTGTATCAATGTATTACAATGTATTATCATAACAAACCGGCAATATTGAGCTCAAGATTAGGTTTTTAAGAAATGGTCTTCCACTATTATTTTTGTTTAAATCTTACATCTGTGTACCAACTTCGAAACATTCAGAATCCAAATTACCCTTTAAATAGACACATAAATTCTGCGTACCAAAAATGGGTTGGTAGAGTCAAGAGAGGAGAACTTTGTTTGCTTGCTTCTTGTTTAAAGCCGAATCCGACAATATTCCAGCTATATGGCAGCGGGCTGTCTAGACCAGGTCATCCAGTGATCAACAGCATGACCATCGATCTACACAATTGGGATACGATGACATGTGTCAACCAAGTCAGCGAGCCTGACCACCCGATCCCGATAGTCGTCTCTTGCGACAAGCAAATGTTGCTGAAGAACACTTCTAACCCGGATTGTCACTATCATGCAAGCAGAAGTGAAAAAATCGGATTGTCTACTACAACTGATCATAAGGAGACTGGATTGCATGTAACCAGACTTGTAGCTTGAGCTCAGCTTCCACACATTGGCGTGAAGAGCTCTTCTTGACGATACTGTCTGCAATAGTGGCCATTGCAATAGCCTTATTCAATGTCCTTTTTTCTGACAAAGGCCTATATGAGACGAATATGCGTTTTCTATGCTTTCGGTGGTCTTGAGGTCTTTAATGTAATATCTCTGAGCTCTGATGGGCCACAGCAGCCAGTCAGATTAATACACCTGTTTTCTGAAGGCATGGGTCGAGAATTGCCTGTGCTGCAGGGGACACATGACTGAATTCTTGCTATAAATTCCGGTTGGGCCCTAAAAGATGTTGGACTCTTGTCATTTTGGACTCTTGCATTGAACGTGAGTTATGATGGTGATTTCATTAATGCTAACACAACAATTGACAATTCCATTTTGGGAATATAGGTGGTAATCTTCCAGTGAAAATTAGCGCATCTCTTGGTTTAGTATATGGTGGGTACCTATAGAGTACCTGTAGTATACCTTTAGAGTACCTGGTGAGTTCCTGTAGAGGACCTGATGAGTTCCTGTGGAGGATCTTGTGAGTTCCTGTTAAGGACAAATGACTGAATTCTTGCTATAAATTCCGGTTGGGCCCTAAAAGATTTTGGACTCTTGTCATTGTATAACTGAGGACATATCAAATGCATGTAGATCTGTCATACTGTCCGGAATGTCCATGGCCACTGGAGAAAAGTTGAGTTGAGTTGGGCTTTACGTCACATCGGCATTATTCCAGCCATATAGTGACGAGCATACTGGAGAAAAAGGTCCCCTGTTCGAACATGTTTAATGGGGTGATGTTGCATTGAACGTGAGTTATGATGGTGATTTCATCAATGCTAACACAACAATTGACAATTCCATTTTGGGAATATAGGTGGTAATCTTCCAGTGAAAATTAGCGCATCTCTTGGTTAGGTATGTGGTGGGTACCTATAGAGTACCTGTAGTATACCTTTAGAGTACCTGGTGAGTTCCTGTAGAGGACCTGGTGAATCCCTGTAGAGGACCTGGTGAGTTCCTGTAGAGGACCTGGTGAGTTCCTGTGGAGGGAGGACCTGGTGAGTCCTGTGGAGGACCTGGTGAGTTCCTGTAAAGGACCTGGTGAGCTCCTGTAGAGTACCTGGTGAGCTCCAGTAGAGGACCTGGTCAGTTCCTGTAGAGGACCTGGTAAATACCTACTGAGCTCCAACCATGATGCAGTACTGAGGCAAGTACTGATCTATAGCCTTCCATGGTGCCATGTCTGAAATTCTTCTGCTCCAGAGATTGAGTAAGAAGTGCGAACTGAACCTCTTCTCCTTCTCCACTCCACGGATATGTCCAATCCTTCGTGCTATGTAGATAACAGCATAGTCAACAGGATGTGTAGAAACGAGAGGAACATGTGTCGATTCAAGTACGAGAAGGGCGACTGCTGAGTGCGCCTCTACCACGCTGCAGACTGACTGCTTACTTGTTGGAGTCTATCGTTCTAAGCTGGGGCAAGAATTGACTCACGTCCTGATACAACATGTCGTCGCTTACACTGAGCTCGTCGCACCTGGACGTTTCTCTGTTCGACTTACCAAGCTGTTAGGAACTTCTGATAAGTAGATTTGGGAACGGGTGATGGATCGTAGTCGTCAGTTGTATCCTCCATGGAGCTGTGAGATGCAGAGAGAGCATGTTGTTTTCCATTGACTCCAGGATGTCCTGGTGTTCTGTTGTATGAGAGGCTGCACTGCATGGGTAGAAACCTGGGCAGGCATCGTAAACTGACTGGACATCTCCCTGCATCTCGAGGAACTGGTCCTAAATGCTGCAGATGAAACCCAGATGTGTCATGCTCGACTCTGGACTCTGTAGGGTGGATTGTGTGCTTATCAACAGAGGGATGCATGATGCTGGCAGAAATCAAAGTGATCGACAGAGGATGTGATTAGTTCATTCGCTAAGATAAATCCACATAAATGTTGTGGGTCTGATAACTTGCTAGGGATTGTTCTTAAGGAATGTAGAGTGCAACTGGCTGTTATTTTTCAAAAGCTATTTCAGATATCAATTAATTCTCATAGTGTTCTAATTCTTTGGAAAACCTCTAAAATTATTCCATTGCCAAATGAGAAAAATCCCTCTGTTAATAATGGCCTAACCTCTATGGCCATGAAATGTTTGGAACGTATTTGTTAAGATCTCATTGTTGAATGAAGTCAGCCATGTTCTTAACCATTACAATTTGTATACAGAACGAGGCGTGGGGTAGATGATGCAACAATCACTCTGTTAAACAATGTCTATAAGCATTTAGAAAACTATGGTACTTATGTTAGAATAATGTTTGTTGATTTTTCATCTGCCTTTAATACTATTCAACCTCATTTGTTACTTCTAACAGCATCAAAACGATTAATTCATTTCTAGTTAACAGACAACAATTTGTACAGGTAAATAATGTGAAATCATCAATTGTAAACACATCAACTGGCGCTCCACAAGGTTGCGTCATTTCACCAATTTTGTTTATATTTTACACCATTGACTGTGTATCCAACACAGAAACATGTTTTACAGTCAAATTCACTGGGATAAGGTGGTTTTACTCTTCAGGTATTTCCCTGACTGCATAATTGTTAACTTGAAAACGTCCTCTGGAATAGTTTCCACATCGTAGCAGGAGGCAGTGTTCCTATGCAATTTTACCCGTAAATGTGGCTGTTGGTAGATATGTCCTAACATGTCAGAGTGTTTAAGCGTTTACGTGCAGACTCTCGTTACAGATACCATCTCAGATGTGAGCGTGTTTGGCCACGTGTAAATGACAATGGCTTGTCAGACATTGGCATGAATCATATCTACGCTGACATATTATTCCATTTATTTTGCCAAACTTTGGTCTTTATTGCGACAAAAAATAATGTGGACCTTTGGCAAGATTCCTCTGCAAGTGGGGCAGTCTAGTGGTCCAAGTGTTCGCAACATCAATGGCTTGGTTTCGATTTCTCACATAGGTACAATGTGATATTGCTGGAATGTTGCTAAAAGTGGCGTCAAATCATACTCACTCACTCGCTCGCTACAACCATGACAAGTTATGAACACGAACCTTGAATTAACGTGCCTCTAAAAAGAAAAACAAGCATTCTTTTCACATCTTTTTAGCAGGTTTATTAGCAAAAAAAACCCGGTTTATACAATATATACTTGTATACAGTTAACCGTTAACTTTAATTACTTTAACAGGTCAGGGTTCTACAAGAAACAATCACAGGATTATCTGACAGCCATATTTGTACTGTGACTCGATCACTTGAGGTATTCTGTCACGTACTCCCATGTGGGCTTCGGTGTAAAAGTTAGTCCCGGAACCAATTAGCACCAATAACGATTGAACGTTTCGTGAAACTGATGAAATTAGCTGACAATCTTTTCTGACACCTTACAATAGAACATGAAGGGTTAATCTGATATGTCTCAGGATTACAACAAGGTCAATGTAACAGTTTGATTGGCATTCTAGAAGCTGGTGAGTAAAAAGAGAAACACGCAAGTCAATGTGAGGTGAGGTGAGGTGAGATTGGGTTTATTAGCGTCGTGCTTGAGAATATTTCGCTCATATGACGACGTGCATGCGTGTGTATGTGTATGTGCGGCTGCTTTTACTAGCCCAGACTTAAGCTGGTTTTGTAGTTCTAGCCCACTGAGATACCATGCCGCAGTGGAGCATGAATACCCCACTCAGACACATTATACTGACTACGAGCCGACCAGTCCTTGTTGTACCCATTAATGCCGAGTCCCAGGCAGGGACCAACAAGTACCATATTTTAACGTCTTTTGGTATGACGCGGTCGGGGATGGTTAACAAGTCAATGTATAACACCTGGTTTATTGTACGTACTTGGACACATTTCGAAGTAGATTTTCACACCCTTGACTTACACTCTGATATGAAAATGGTGCACCACAAATGTGTAAAAATCTCATCAAAATGTTGCTACATGCAATAAGCCAGTAGTGGTATTTTTCACAGTTTTATGTTTTCAGGTGAATGTATGCTGTATCATACAGGGTGGGATTTGTGTCTGTGTACATCAGCTCCGTGTCTTCAGGGAGGAGTGTCCATACACTCCATAGGGAGGGACCCCGAATGATGTTTACTGAGTGAGTGACCCAGATAGCATTCAGACGTTGGCCCAACGTTGGCAATGGTTTTGCCAACATTGCCAACGTTGGGCCAACGCCCGAATGCTATCTGGGGATTGAGTTGGTGCTAGAATGAGTGAGTGAATGAGCAGTGAGTGACCAAAAGAGACCGTGGCAGGGGGGTGGTTGGGTGGTTAACTGAATGTAAGAATGAATGAATGTTTGAGAGTTAGGATAAGAGTTTGAGTGAGCGAGAAGGCAGTAGGATGGATGACTTGGTGTGCGGGTGAGTGAGGTGCGTAAGAATGAATGTTTGAGTGAGTGAGTGAGAGAGTGTGTGAGTGATCCATTGACTGATAACACATTTGAGATGAAACAACATCCAACCAGCTGGGTCCCAATCCTGAGAACCTGATCAATGTAATGCCCTCCTACAAGAAGCAGAGCTTGCTCGTTGTCCCTACAGGTGAACTACTGTAATGAACCAGGTGCGATGGCTGCCTCCGTGTTCACAGCTCAATCCTGAATAATCAACCTAAAACTGCTCTAGCACCCACACGACCCTCATTTACAGCAAACACAGGACATATGCGTATTTCTACGTATATCATACGAATAAAAACATAACAATATTAACAGAAGCGTAATCTTTAGTTTTGTTGAGAAGTATATGTACAGCAACACAGCATGGGTGCCATGCTGGAGAACAGCACTGGCAAGAAATCAGGTCATATTGTTAGTGGCACAGATTACGCGTTGTGATTCCATTGTGAGTGAGTGAATTTATATTTATCGTCACATCGGAAATATTTCAGCCAAATTGTGGCGAGAACAATTAATGATTATATCATATATCAATAAAATTAGAAATTAAAACCTGTTAACGAAGAACAGTAAAACTACTAGTGTATAACGGATATCCATTTAAAACTAGTGATGAAATCAAAAACGTGTTGACTAGAAAACAAGACAATGTAAAATCAGGCTATAGATTGCCAACAACTGAAGGTAGATCACCATACTAGGGACCATGGGTGAGAGGCTGTATACGGAAGAGTATCATGTACAGTGAAACAGGTTATCATGTGTACAGTGAGAGGTTATCATGTGTACAGTGAGAGGTTATCATGTGTACAGTGAGACAGGTTATCATGTGTACAGTGAGGCAGGTTATCATGTGTACAGTGAGAGGTTATCATGTGTACAGTGAGAGGTTAGTGAGACAGGTTATCATGTGTACAGTGAGACAGGTTATCATGTGTACAGTGAGACAGGTTATCATGTGTACAGTGACAGGTTATCATGTGTACAGTGAGAGGTTATCATGTGTACAGTGAGAGGTTATCATGTGTACAGTGAGACAGGTTATCATGTGTACAGTGAGAGGTTATCATGTGTACAGTGAGACAGGTTATCATGTGTACAGTGAGAGAGGTTATCATGTGTACAGTGAGAGGTTATCATGTGTACAGTGAGAGGTTATCATGTGTACAGTGAGAGGTTATCATGTGTACAGTGAGAGGTTATCATGTGTACAGTGAGAGGTTATCATGTGTACAGTGAGAGGTTATCATGTGTACAGTGAGACAGGTTATCATGTGTACAGTGAGAGGTTATCATGTGTACAGTGAGGCAGTTATCATGTGTACAGTGAGAGGTTATCATGTGTACAGTGAGAGGTTATCATGTGTACAGTGAGACAGGTTATCATGTGTACAGTGAGAGGGTTATCATGTGTACAGTGAGAGGTTATCATGTGTACAGTGAGAGAGGTTATCATGTGTACAGTGAGAGGTTATCATGTGTACAGTGAGAGGTTATCATGTGTACAGTGAGAGGTTATCATGTGTACAGTGAGAGGTTATCATGTGTACAGTGAGAGGTTATCATGTGTACAGTGAGAGGTTATCATGTGTACAGTGAGAGGTTATCATGTGTACAGTGAGACAGGTTATCATGTGTACAGTGAGAGGTTATCATGTGTACAGTGAGAGGTTATCATGTGTACAGTGAGAGAGGTTATCATGTGTACAGTGAGTGAGAGGTTATCATGTGTACAGTGAGAGGGTTATCATGTGTACAGTGAGAGGTTATCATGTGTACAGTGAGAGGTTATCATGTGTACAGTGAGAGGTTTATCATCATGTGTGTGTACAGTGAGAGGTTATCATGTGTACAGTGAGATCATGTGTACAGTGAGAGGTTATCATGTGTACAGTGAGAGAGGTTATCATGTGTTATCATACAGTGAGAGGGTTATCATGTGTACAGTGAGAGGTTATCATGTGTACAGTGAGAGGTTATCAGGTTATCATGTGTACAGTGAGTGAGAGGTTATCATGTGTACAGTGAGAGGGTTATCATGTGTACAGTGAGGCAGGTTATCATGTGTACAGTGAGACAGGGTTATC